TCGACAGTTAAAACCAAGTTCTGCTGCAGTACCACTTAAAAACTCCAAGAGAAACTGATGACTAGTTTTTGTCTCAGAAGAGAATGCTTTCTTCAGTCAGGATACAAAGTCACGCCCAACTTTACACTAACTTCATTATTTTCATTAGAAGTAGTTAGAAGGCACAGCAAAATAACATAGCAAAACACACACACATATGAAATACATATTATCACTAAGATAGCAAAAAAAGAGATGCTGCAATATGATACCTGGTACCATAAATGAAATTTTACCTCTGTACCACTTAAGTCGGTGTTAACTCCATTGACTAAAATAGACTTTTCCTTCACCTACATGTGTATTAGAGGACGTTTCCATGGAATACACAGCCAGTAAGTGACTGGCTCTGGTTCTGAGGGGGTGTGAACTCCAAATGAGATGTCCTGTAGCACTGAGATTCTCTCCTGTCTGCCAACGTTCAAACTCCTACTAGAGCCTTTCCCTCAACTGAGGTACTACCAACTGAGGTACTTCTCTACCCAGAAACTGATTTTCACTAAACTTAGAGCAGAGAATTATGTCTGCAATCTCTAGCCCTCTGTCAAATGTGGCCAGCAGCACCTGGGGGGGTTCAAAAGTTCTCAGTCACAGGAAGGAATACCTCAAAACACGAGTTGAATGCATAACCTTGGATTCCGTAGGAAACTCAGCTAAAAAACAAACAAACAAACAAACAAACAAGTCAACAAAAGCAATGATAAAATTCCAAAAACAACAACAAAAACTTGAGACACATACAAGTGAGAAAAATTCTAAGTGAAATACCATGGAAAGTAAAATTGGCTGAAGGAAACTTTCATAGAACCCTAGAATGGTTTGGGTTGGAAGGGACCTTAAAGATCATCTGGTTCCAGCCCCCTGCCACGGGCAGGGACACCCACCACCAGACCAGGCTGCTCAAAGCCCCATCCAGCCTGGCCTCGAACACTGCCGGGGATGGGGCGTCCACAGCTCCTCTGGGCAGCCTGTGCCAGTGCCTCACCATCCTCATAGGGAAGAACTCTGGGTCTACAGCAGTAACTTAAAAAGTCTATGATGAACAACCATGACAAAACGAAGAAAAAGGAATAGCGACAGGGCGACCTGGATGAGGGCTGACTAAGGCGACGGCGGTTTCCAGCAGAGCGAGATGGGACAGCAGTCAATCTAATACTAACCCCTCGTGTAGTTAATTTGCTTCCTTTGGTCACTCCCTTCCTGCTTTTCGCCTGACTTACACGATGCCCCCACGCGTCGCAGCCTGTTTTCTCGGCGCTGCCTCCTCAGTCGGGAGCTGCGGGGAGTTCAACGCTGTCTCCACCTGCGGGAACAGCGCACCCGGTCAGTCGCTACCGGCCCCGCCGCCACCACCACCCTCCCCCGGCGCGCTGCAGCGAGCCCCTTCCCGCTCCGCCAGCGGATCTCCCCGCTCCGCCCGCTGACTGACTGACCGACCGACCAACGGACCGACCGACCCACCGACCCA